TAAATACAGATCGCTTTAGAAGCTACATATAAAAAAAATAATTCCTCCGCTTGATTATGTGCTTAAATTTCGTGTAATAAAACACAAACAGTTATACCGCAAAACATACATATATGGGTGTTTCCAGCGGAAGGTCCACCACGACAAAAAAAATAAAAGTTTTATATCTAACGTATTTACGGGCCAATTTGTCTGCTTTTTAAAATATATATTGGCTATGTAAGTAGAATCATGTTTGCATAAAATGGTCTTCCTAGGTGGTGCCAAGGTCGAGATATTTCGAAAAACCGTATTTATGGTCCGATTTGGTTCGAATTTGGCGTATGTGGTTGAAACATAATAAATCATAGATTTCTAATAAATTGACCCTGAATTGGCGCTGAAGTCAAAATATAAAGTATATTCTACATAAAATACATGTTTTATTTGCGTTGAAAATTCATTTAAAAGCAATATTAACAAAAATATAACGATGGAAATTTATGTCACGTGACGCCACGTCACGTCACGCTTCACGCTTGGGGTTGTAAAAGGGAATTGAAACAATTTGCATTAATTCAATAAACTCTAAAAACAACTAGAATTGCTCCAAATCATATTAAAATAAGTTTCAATAAGCCATCCACAATTCGCAGAGTTTTGCGATTTTGTAAGAAAAGAAAAAATCAACTTCCATTTTTTGTCACGTAACGACACTCTCTTTAAATGCTTATATTTCAGGACCAAGCAGTTCGATTGATTTCATTTTTCGGTTAAATATAGAGAGTTATGTGCTATACAATGGCCAAAAAAAGTTAAAGAAAACAAATGGTATTCCTTTTTTGTATCATATTGAAATCGTACGACTGTCACGTGCGCCACCATGGGAATGCCCATATTCAAGTGGACACTTGCAAATATTTCCAGCAATATCCCTTCTGTTTGTATAACAAAAAGCAAGCAGGATTGCATAAAAAAGTAAGCAACAAAGCAAAATCATAACTAATAAGAACTGGCGGCAAAACAACCAATAACGTATGTACACATAAACATAATACATACGACATAATATTATTCCCCAATTACCTAATACAATACAGCAGCCGGATTCCAACTTTCGATATCGCTAAAACTCCATCGCCAAAAAATACTAAATGGATTTTAGCAATTTTGGGAGATTTTTGCGATTCGCGCTTAAAAAATCATATCTAAAAAGTTTCATTTTTGGTTCATTTTTTTGGTGGGTTTTAGCGATGAACAAGATGAACCCGGATATAGTGAGTGAACAGTTTTTGACAGCTCATCAGCTAAAATGGCGATTCCAGCGTCTTTTCCATTGCTACAAATCTCCATTGTTGGCTTAAAATTCTGCGAATTTGGCGACTAGAAAAAGTTGGTGCTAAAAAAATAACGCGACAAAAAAGGTAATGCTTATATTGTTTTTTGTTAAAAATACTCTTTTATATTAAAGAAATTGTTTAATTAATAGCAAAATATGGCAAACCGCAATAGCAAAAGAGTGACGAAGGATCAAAAATATATGCTCGTTCAATATTTGGAGGATCATAGAGAATTTGCTCACGACAGGTATGCAAAACATTTTCCCGTAAATGATTTTGTTTAAGTTTTTTCTTTTTTAAGATTCGTCAATGGCACCGGGAGCAAAAGATTAGCTGAGCAGTGGAACCACCTCGCCGAAAAATTAAATGCTTGCGGAGGATCTATAAAAGATGGTGAAGGATGGAAGAGAGCGTGGGTAAATATGAGGTAAATATGTTTTGAAAATATACATAAGTAGCACTAAGATTCTTAAAATTGTTTTCGATTAATGATAGGAGCAAAGCCAAACAAAAATCCCAAGATTTGAGAAATGCTATGGAGCGAAGCGGGGTAAATTCATCAATTAAAGAAAAGCATCTCAGTAACCTCGACGAGCGCATCATTGGCGTGATGACCACAGTGGCAGTGGTCGGTCAAAGAGAAGTTAGCGAGCCACTGGTGAGTTAAGAACATTTCCATTTATAAATTATTTATATGCATAGATTCGAATTCGATCAAAATGTTTTTGTAGTTTGAACATACTTACTTATATATATATATCTATAATTTATATAATAACTTTTAATTACAGAGAAGTTCCAGCGCAGTAACTAGCGTGGAATTATTTGACGCCTCTGTGGACCACTTTGAGATAGAGGTATGTACATACGCCTTATGATTGTCTTTTTTTTTATTTAACTTTTTATTACAGTTTCTTGAAGGAGGCGATGAGGAACCCCAAATGACACCGGATATGATTCCTCAGGATCCACTTCCACCACAACGTCGGGCTCCCAAACGCAAAAATTACTCTTTATAAGAGAGCAACGCCAAAATGATACAGTTAGAAGATCGCAGAGTCGTCTTGGCGGAAAGAAAAATTGCGGCGCTGGAGAAAAGATATATGTGGTCTATGTTATTGAATTTACTATATTTTTATAGAAAAAAAATATGAAAGTTCAAAAAATCAGTTAAACGTAAAAATGTAAACATCTGTGTACCGTTTGTAATTCAAATGCGCACCACAAATCTCAGTAATTAAAATAGTTATTTACAATTTGTTGTCTTGCAGCAATACCATGATGAGTACTAGTTATTTCATCAACTAAATTAAACTCTTCATCAAAACTTATGTTATCATCATCCTCAATTTCATACCTTATATTATTTAATATCATGATATTGTGCAAAATTATACAAGCATTTATAATTTTACCGGCTAAAACTGGGTCATACATAAGCACTCTATATTTTGACAGGCATCGAAATCTAGATTTCAGCACTCCAAAGCAGCGTTCTACACAGTTTCTTGCTTTCCGGTGATGTCTGTTGTAATTATGTTCAGAATCTGAGAGATTGTTTCCCGGAATAGGAGTCATTAAATAAGGTAATTGAGGATATCCACTGTCGCCTAAACATGTGAAAAGGAAAATTATGCTACATAAATAATATACATATGTATGTATACAAATTGAGTAAAATATACCTAAAAGCCAAAAATTTCGTTCTCCATTGGAGTACATATTGTCAAGAAAAACCTTCAAAGCACTTGCTCTCCAAACTGATGCATCGTGAGCAGTTCCGCCGAAATGAGCATCACAGTCAAGTATTCTTAAATCCATGTCACATACCTTCAAGTGATGAAATAATGTATGTACATACAATGTTACGTATATGTATATACA